TACTTCAGCCTCCCAAGTAATTGGGATTGTAGGTGTATGGCCACCGCGTCTGGCAAATTTTTGTATTTTTAGTAGAGATGGGTTTCACCATGTTGCCAAGGTTGGTCTTGAACTCTTGAGCTCAAGCAATCCAGCCATCTCAGCCTCCCAAGTGCTGGGATTACAGGCATGAGCCTCTGCATCTGGCCTAATTTTCATATTTTTTGTAGAGACAAGGGTTCACCATGTGGCCCAGGTTGGTCTCAAACTCCTGGGCTCTACCTTGGCCTCCCAAAGTGTTGGGATTATAAGGCATGAGCCACCACACCCAGCCCTTGTACTTCTTACAAGACCTGCCTGGGTAGTAGACAGAGGCATAACTGCCTGTGGCTTCCCTCTCAGGATGATTTCAAGTCTGGAACAAAAGCTCTCTCTTACCATGTGCCCAGCCTTCAGAATCCAGTAGAAAGCCAGGTTCTTGTAGGATTTGACAAAAGCAGAAGTTTTCTAAAGATTTAGGGTCACTGTACAGGGCCTTCCACTTCAGCTGATTGAATTTAGGCAGTTCTGACCACCTCAGCTTCCGTACCCAGGCCTCCTGACCTGGTAAGAAAGGCACAGCATTAACAGTTGGGTAAAGTAGGAAAAAAGTCTAGGTCCAAAATGTTGGTGCTTCCCAAACTGTAATAGGCATGATCTCACTCAGGATCTTGTTAAAACGCAAATTCTGATTCAGAAGATCAGGGTGGGGTCTGAGCATCTGTACTTCTGACTCCCAGTGAAACCTATGTTGCTGGGAGAAACCTAACAGCTGCAAAGCCTGACTTGTTTTTGCCTCTGCCTCTCCCACTGCCACCTGCTCTTTAGGAAGGGAACTGGGGGGACCTCACAGGCCTGTGAGGAGGACTGAGAGATGTCAGGAATGAGACAGTGTCACCCGGGCTGTTCATGGAAAAAATGCAGCAGCTCTCCAAATGGTCCTGGAGGTCCCTTGCTTACCAGTCACAAAAATATTCAATTCTTCTTGTTTCACGAGTGCGTCACATCCGCCAGACCTTGTGCCTCAATTAAACTGGCGGTTCAGAGAACCTGTCTCAGAACTTCTACCAGCCCCTATTTAATTTGGAAGTGAGCAAATTAAACATGTGGTAGGTGATAGGGCAGTAGCTGGGAATCCACAAAGACTGCTTCCCCTGGCTCTTCAGGGTTAGTCATTAGGGTTGAGTTTTAATTCACTTTGCAGTGGTTGACATCAACTGTGATGTCATACAAACATAAGCTCTCCCTTAATTAAATAGTGCATTTGCCCAGTAGCCAGAAAAACGTCTTTTTAAGTTTTGTGGTAGAGACAGGTGTTGTTCTTTTCTTTAATTCTACCTAAGGGCCCTAAAACTTGGATAGGCCCAGGCTTCTGAGGGGTCACAGCCCTGTGTAGCTCCCCGCTCTCTGGAGAATCAAGGTCAGGGGTAGATGGATATAATGGGAAATGGCCTTCCTCCTGGCATTTCAATATTACCCACCCCAAGACTGCCATGTCCAAGCCCAGTTCCCTTCCAGCTGAACCCATAATACTGCCTCTGTGTGTCCTTCAGAGTCAATTCCTACCCATGGTATCTACGATGAGATCAAGCTGTCCATTATACACAGTTACGTTGATCCCTGCCTCCAGCAACTCGTCCACAATGCTTATGACTGGCTTCATGAAGTCCCCCTCCATGTTCATGAAGACATTGGTCGCCTGGCCTGCACATGGGGAGGGAGAGAGAGGAAGGAGCTTGGAATCTGCCAGAACAAGAGGTCCCTTTCAGCCCAGAGCATCTTGCACTTCAGCACCAAACGATGACTGAATGCACCGATGCTTCACAAACAGGGAGAAACCAGCCCAGAAATCTGTGCCCACTGCTCAGGTGTAAGGCACACATAAACAGCACATGTGGTCCATTCTCTTGAGAGCTTGTGATGACAGCAGGCACCACTTTAAAAGAGGAATTGACACCTGGAATAGGCTACCATCCATGGAAACAGTGAGGCAGAGGCGGGGAAATACTCGTTGGGCTGGTACACTTAGGGAATGAATCGTGCTTTGGGCCAATATCAGTTTTCCTGTTTTCTTAAGTAACACCAGCACCAAGTTTCAAGTCCTGAACAATTGGGCCTGCCTTCTGATAAATCAGATCAAACCTAAACCAATTCAGAGCTGGCCCTCAGGAAAGTCAAATGAATAACAAGCACCAAGCAAGAAGCTAGTGCTAGCTCCTGCCCATCAGCATTATCGTGACACTGAACAACCACAGTAACAGTGCCAGCCAGCATTATCTGCTTGTCACTGCTAAGGAGGCATTTCACAAGCAACATCCCATTTCTTCTTCATTACTATCCTGGGAGATCAGAAGTCTTTAAAAAAAAAATTAAATAGTTAATTAATTTTTTTTTTGAGACACAGTCTCACCCTGTCACCCAGGCTGGAGTGCAGGGGTACAATCTCAGCTCACTGCAGCCTCTACCTTCCAGGTTTAAGCAATCCTCCAACCTCAGCCTCCCAAGTAGCTCAGACTATAGGTGCACACCACCACGCCCAGCTTTTTTTTTTTTTTTCAGATGGAGTTTTGCTTTTGTTGCCCAGGCTGGAGTATCACAGCACGATCTTGGCTCACCACAACCTCTGCCTCCCAGGTTCAAGTAATCTGCCTCAGCCTCCCGAGTAGCTGGGATTACAAGCATGCACCACCACACCAGGCTAATTTTGTATTTTTAGTAGAGACAGGGTTTCTCCCAACCTCAGGTGATCCTCCTGCCTTGGCCTCCCAAAGTGCTAAGATTACAGGCATGTGCCACTGTGCCAGGCCATGCCCAGCTCTTTTTATTTGAGCTAACTAATTTTTGTTCATTTCTAAAATTCTCTCAGCAGTCAGGGGTAATGAAAAAACCAGGGACAGAATGAACCCTCTGGTGACTGCAGGTTGGGAGAAGAGGCCCATGTCCCCTGAGAAAGCTCCTAGCAGCAGCAAATCACAGGCTCCCAGCAGCCGCGGGACCACTGACCCCATATCCTTGGGTTATCTTGGACACACATGAAACATAACCCTCTTCAGCTTGGAGTGTTTTCCCTTCAGAAACCTGGGATCTCTGCTTGCTCAAGGCCTCCCTGTAGGACTAAGTAGGAACTTATCCAAGATTTCTACCTGGCCCTGGTCTCTAAGAATTTCATTATTTCCTCACCACAGCCTTGAGTCCAGAATGCAGTACTGCTCGGCCACATCCAGCATCAAGATGCCTGGGGAGGCCAGCGAGAGAGCTGGTCAAAATCTGCCCAACCACGTGGGCATGTATGACATCCTGCAAGAAGGATCTTTGGCATAAAATCTCATCTGCAACCAACCGTGGCCTTGGATGTTGCCTTATCTTAATTTTTTATTATGGAAAATTTCAAATGGATACAAAAGAGAAGCGTACAATGCTCCAATGTACCCATACCAGGTTTCAACAATTATTAGCTCTCAACCAATTATGCATTATTTCTCTCCCCACCCAGCTCCCTACCAACCCTTTATTTTGAACCAATTTTGACAAATCTTTTTTTTCCCCCTTTTGAAGAGACAGGGTTTCACTCTGTTGGCCAGGCTGGTGTGCAGTAGCACAACCATAACTCAGTGTAGCCTCAAACTCCTGGGTTCAAGCAATTCTCCCTCCTCAGCCTCCCTAGTAGTTAGGACTACATGCCACATACCACCATGCCCAGCCATGTGGTTAATTGTGGTGTCAAGCAATCCTCTCAACTCAGTCTCCCATAGTGGTGGGATTATAGGCATGAGCTACTGCATCCAGCCCTGACAAGTCATTTACTGTCTTCTGTATCTATTTGCTCACCTACAACATGTGGATAGTAACATTGTTTACCTATAACCTATCATCACCACCACCAGCAAAACCCATCCTACAAATTCAGGTCTCTGAATTTGCACATCTTTTCTCCCCATAACTCTACAAACAGCACTTAATTGGGTCGCATAAGTACCTCCCCAGGTTTGATCCTCCGGAATGATTTTGAGCTTCTTTCTGATGGGGCCATTCATGAGCCGGCTTAAGGCATCTCGTTGTAGGTGTCTCACATGGCGCTGACAAAGACGAACTAAAACCAAACTGGTACATGGTGAGTCAAAGGACTGGAAGTAAGACGAAGAGGACACCTTTACCAAGCTGCTGGGGACACTGTACAGCAAGAATGAGGGTTTCAGATTCAGCTGGAAAAGGAAAAGCATCACCTTGATTCACCCCTAGTGGGAGAAAGGAAGTCAGAAACACAATGAAAGTGGAGAGGCTTTCTTATTAGGTTGGTCCAAAAGTAAATGCGGTTTTTGCCATTAAAAGTAATAGCAAGGTAGGGCGCGGTGGCTCACACCTGTAATCCCAGCACTTTGGGAGGCTGAGGTTGGTGGATCATGAGGTCAAGATCAACACCATCTTGGCCAACCTGGTGAAACCCCATCTCTACTAAAAATAAAAAAATTAGCTGGGCGTGGTAGCATGTGCCTGTAGTCCCACCTACTCAGGAGCCTGAGGGAGGAGAATCACTTGAACCTGGGAGGCAGAGATGGCAGTGAGCTGAGATAGTGCCACTGCATGCCAGTCTGGTGACAGAATGAGACTCTGTCTCAAAAAAAAAAAGAAACAGAAAGCAGATGAGTGGTTGCCAGGGAGAAGTGACTGCAAGCAGACACATGGGATCTCTTTGGGGCGATGAAAATGTCCTGAAATTGGATTGTGACGATGACTGCACAACTCTGGGAATATCCTGAAAACCATTTACAATGAGTTAATTTTATGGTATGCAAATTATATGTTAACAAAGGTTTTTTTAATAAACAGGTTTCTTTTTGCATGGAGGCTGAGGCAGGGTCTAAAAACTTCAAGATTCACTCACCTAGGTGGCTCTGTGTGAATTCTAGACTCGACTCCATTGTAGATGTTGGAGGACTTTTAGTCAAGATGTTATAGAAGTTCACCCCATCTGTGTTCTGGAATACAAAAGTTTGTTTGGTTGTTTCGTTTTTCTATCATCAGAACTGCCAAACAGAAAAAACAAGGGTCTTTACCTAAGGACAGCTTTAACTTTGTCAATCTGCTTGGATCAGAAAGTAATACAGCTGTGGCTGGCAGTGTTGGCTCACACCTGTAATCCCAGCACTTCCGGAGGCTGAGGCGGTGGATCACTTGAGCCTAGGAGTTCAAGACCAGCCTGGTCAACTTGGTGAAACCCCTCTGAACTAAAAACACAAAAATCGGCCAGGCGTGGTGGTGCTCACCTGTAGACCCAACTACTCTGGAGGCTGAGACATGAGAATCACTTGAACCCAGGAGGCAGAGGTTTCAGTGAGCTGAGATTGGGCCACTGCACTACAGCCGGGGTGACAGAGCCAGACTTGGTCTCAAAAAAGAAAGAAAGAAATGCAGCTCTAAAGGCTCAGAAACCAGCTGTGTTAGCCCAGCCCCCTCTCCCAGGAGTGGTGAGCAGCTCATATGAGCAGTGATCAGGCCCCTGCACGGAAAACACCAAGGGCCTCAGTGTTAACTTACAGAAAGAACAGAGCTGCAGAGGGTCCTACACTCCCAGTCCTTGGCCAGTGCATCCTTTGCTTCTGGCTCTCTGGAGTCAGAAAGTTACTTGGCAAGGGCTCCAATAAGGGAATGTGTTGTCTCCAAACTAAACACTCACCTCTGCAAGACAATCTTTGTTTTTTAATAGAATCTGTACATTTAGTGAAGGACAAGCAAGTCTTGTAGGCCTGGGTGGCTTTCTGTCTTGCAGATTCTGACTCTGTAAGGAGCCAGGACATCACTGCTCAGACCCGACAGATTTATTGTCTAGCATGCAATCATTTGCAGATACCTGGGGAGGCTCAGGATAGACCCCAAGTTTGACAACACCAACCACAGGCCCTGTACCCACCAGAAAAGGCAACTAGGCTGGCCCCTAAGTGTGTCCCCTTTTTACCTGTTCAATGATCATTTCTGCTTTCCCCCACAGCGCCGTGGCCTCTCTGTAGAGCTCCTTATTTATGGCATTCAGGACTTGCTCTGCAACTTTAGACACCTCTGCCAGACCTTTGTCTTCAAGAAGAGACTGGAATATAAACCAAGAGCAAAAAGACCCACTTTACTGGGGAACATCAATCTGATATTGCTGCAGTGAGGGAGGGGTAGGGGAAAGAGGGGAAGGAAGGAGAATGGGAGCTTACATAGGAAAGCATATTGTTACAAGCACATGTTCATTGGCGGAAACACAGCAAATTGTTAACTGAATCTAAGTAGGTATTCACAGTGATCTTTCAACGTTCCTGCATATTCGAAAATTTTTATAATAAAAATTTAGGGAATTGAAAAAACGTGTTGCTTAGCCAGGCGCAGTGACTCACACCTGTAATTCCAGCACTTTGGGAAGCTGTGGTGGGTGGATCCCCTGAGGTCAGGAGTTTGAGACCAGCCTGCCCAACATAGCAAAACCCTGTCTCTACTGAAAATACAAAAAATTAGCTGGGCATGGTGGTAGGCGCCTATAATCCCAGCTACTCGGGAGGCTGAGGCAGGAGAATTGCTTGAACCTAGGAGGTGGAGGTTGCAGTGAGCCAAGATCACGCCACTGCACTCCAGCCTAGGTGATGAGAGCGAAACTCCGTCTCAAAAAAAAAGAAAAAATGTGTTTCTTATATCTGGAAAAAAGTGATGTGTGCTGATTTTCTTTCAGTTTGTCTCTGTGACTAGTTTTTGCTTTGAATGTCCAACTTCATATGGATAAACAGTCCCTAAAAAGCTGTGCCAAGCACATAGGCAAACTCATCCAGCATCTCTCTTCCTGGGGTCAGAGCCAGAAGAGATTGGCTGGGCATTTACCCAGAGGGCACAGATGTGCATCTACTCACCATGCTGTACAGGTAAGGTCCCCAGGAGAGCACAGAATCTAAAGGAAACCACATATGTACAAGTCAAGTATGTCACACCTCTGTCTTTCCAAAGACAAACCTAACTGGCTTCTCTCCAAAGAAGAAAGAGAGAGAAGCAAGAAACCCAGTGGCTTTGGATTGGAAGGCTCTTCAACTCACCTGTACCCATGCAGGAGGCGGACTGACATCTCAATGGCTAGAAGGTGGGATGAGGGTGTGGGGGCTTTTCTGCTGACTCTTAAGACTAATGGCACATTAATTTGGCCTGATACTGGCCCAGCAAGTGAGTCATTGCCAGTGACGGCATCCCCACAGGCAGGCTATAGGTATGCAGGTGGAGGCTCTTATCTGTGGACCTCTAGGCCTTCTGACAGCTTAAAATATTTCCTCACCCTCAGATTTCTGCTCTGCGTATTTGCTCCTCCAGTTTGGAGATACTAACTTCTGCCAAGGAACTAAATAAGGGAGATGACTAATGAGTTTGCAACAACACAGTGGCTACATTGCCAATTGGCTCATTCCCATCCCACAGACATACTGAAAATTTACTAAGGATCTGGAGGCAGCAAAGAGCATGAGAACATACAAATGTAAGTAACGTGACTTACTTACATTTGTGATAGAAGTGCAGTGATAGAAGGTCAAAGAGAACAGTAGTTGCCCTTGGTTTAGACAAGCTCACAACGATTAAATACTGTATCACTAGATAAGACAAGCACTACTGAAAGAAATGCGAACAAAGAATCAAAGACCTCCACTTATAAAGCACATGTGATTATGTCTCTCCTTAGCTTAAAAGCATTCAACGGCTCCTTAAGGCAAAAGTATCTCAAAGCAGGTTTCGAATAATCTTAGTTCTCCAGGAACTAACTCCATGTTGCCCAGTCTGGTCTTGAACTTTTCGGGTTACGCAATCTGCCTGCTTTGGTCTCCCAAAGTGCTGTGTTTACAGGTGTGAGCCACCATGCCCAGCCGCAGTGGTATTCTTTAGAGCACACTCTGAGAAACGCAGGCACACCAGGACTTCCGTGGCCTAGCTGTTAATCACCTCTCCGGCTTAACCTTGAAACTTGTGTCTTAGCTGAAGGCACAGTTCTTGAAACACAGGATTGGTTGCAGTTCTCCAATGCATCCCATTTCCTGCTTAATCTGGGCCAGAGATTGGTAAGCTTCCTGTAAAGGGACAGACAGGAAATAATTTGGGCCCTGTAGCCCAGACTATCTTGGTTGCCGGTACTCAACTCTGTTCTTCCAGCCTCCAAACAGCCATAGACAGTATGTAAATGAACAGGCATGGCTGCATTCCAATAAAACACTTATTTACCAGAGCAGGCGGCGGGGCAGACTTGACCCGTGGGCCCTTGTTTACCAATCTTTAAAGCATGTCTGCATGGTCCAATAGAACTTTCTGCAGTGATAGAAGTGCTCTATATCTGTGCAGTCCAAAATGCTAGCCAGTAGCCACATGTGTCTATGGAGCACATGAAGTGTGGAGAGTGCCATTGAAAAACTGAAATTGTATTTTAAAATTATAATTAAATGTATATAGTCACATGTGACAAGTGGTTACCACACTGAGCTGGTCGTATGCGCTTAGTGACAGAGCAGATCAAGACCTTTTTGAAGTCCAGGGGCGTATCTGGGTATCTTTGCTTACCACCTAGCCTGGTATCTACTACCTAGCAAGCAATTAACAATTGTTCATGGAAATTAACAATACTTCTCCCTCAAAAACCAATGTTTCTGGGATAGACAGCCAATACTTTAAGTGGATTGGAAAAGATGGATTACAATCCAGACAAACAGTTTCATAATGTAAAGTGGGTCATGGCAAGGAGAAAAAGGTAGATTCCAAACAGGATGAGGATGAATAACACTTGCAAAGCCAGGAAGCAAAACTTACTGATCTTGGAGACAGAGTGTAACAAGGTGGTTAGGTTGCTTGAATTCCAGTACCTGCTGCCTGGATTTGAATCCCAGCTCTACCATTTAGCTGGGTGACCCTAAGAAAGTTGCTTAACCTCTCAGAGTCTCAGTTTACACAATTAGGATAACAATAGCATCTGTCCCATGGAGTTGTTGTAAGGATTACATGAAATTAGCACATGTAAAGTACTTAGTGCTATTGTGAACCTGAAGAGCCCCATGAGGAAGTGAGAGGGCCAGCATTCTGAGTCATAAACAAACTCTCATCCGTGCTCTCAATAAGGATGCTCAGTTATGAAATGGCAACCTCTGGGTTGCAAGACCTAATAGAGACTTTGTCTTGCCATCAACATGAACAAAAGAGCAATATCTGACAAGGTATTATCATGTTTCTGATCTAGGCTTCTGCCGTTTTTATGATGTCCTACAATACATCCAGGAAGGAAAAACAAATAAGCAAATAGTAGCCCTCCTCTTCGTGCTGACTCAGTTTTATTCTATGTCAGTCCTACCCTGCAGATGATGGCCAGAAATAACCATTCCAAGTCATATCAGAATATCCTGAATTCACTGGGAACATGGCTCTGTAACAAGCAAATTCCTACTTTTTAGGGAGATATATTACCTTTTATTATTTTTAAAAAACTAAGCCAGCCGGGTGCGGTGGCTCACCTATAATGCCAGCACTTTGGGAGGCTGAGGCAGGTGGATCACCTGAGGTCAGGAGTTCAAGACCAGCCTGACCAACATGGTAAAACCCCATCTCTACTAAAAATACAGAAATTTAGCCAGGTGTGGTGGTGGGTGCCTGTAATCCCAGCTACTCGGGAGGCTGAGGCAGGAGAATCACCTGAACCCAGGAGGCAGAGGTTGTAGGCACTCCAGCCTGGGAGACAAGAGCGAAACGGTCTCAAAAAAAAAAAGCAAAAAAAACACTGAGCCATAATCACAAATCACAAGTGTACCTTTAGAAGAGTTCTGATAAACACATATGCCCATGTAACCACCCCCAGCAATCAACATATAGTTCCTCATGTCCTTTTCCAGCTTATTCCCCTCCCTTGGCCCTAGGCAGCCTCTGTTCTGCTGGGAAAAATCACATTTTGTTAGGTTAGAAAAATGGTTCTCAATCAGGGATGGTTTTGTCCCCCAGGGAGACATTCCTGGTTGTCACATGGGCGGTGCTACTAGCATCTCTTGAGTACAGGCCAAGAATGCCACTGATAATATCCTACACTGTATAGGACAGCCTCCCGCAAAAAGAACTACATAACCCGCAGTGTCAAATGTGCTGAGAACCCCTAGTTAGAGTGCACGCCACCAGGATGATTGTCTCAGATATCTGAAGTCACACCCTGGATGCCTGCAACATGAATAACACGGGTGCTCAGTGATGAAACTGCACACCTCTGAGTTGCAAGACCAGATGATAACCTTGTCTTGCCGTCAACAGGCGTAACAGATGGGCCCCAAACACTTATGTCAGCATCAGGGAAGGAGAGGGGCAGGAGGACAAAACAGAGTTGCCTTTGTACAGAGCCACAAAGACCTGGATTTAAATCCTAACCAGGCCACTCATCCTGTGTGGCAGAGGGCACATTTCATGACCTTTCTGAGTCTTCAGAATGCCTCCAATTATAACATTTGATCCTTTCATTGTGAGAATCAAACTAAGAAAACTCAGTTCAGCCCTGAGTGGTCCATGGTAGGTACTCTGTCCCTATAGTTCTTGGATGCAGCAAACACTTCCGCTAAGGGCCCAGAACATTCTGCTGCTTAGCTCTTTGATCTGGACAACACAGCCCCAGGCCCCAGGAAAGGATGGGCAAAAGGGAAATGAAGAAATGCCTGAAAATGCCATACTTACCAACAGGGGAGATCCAGGAATCACCCAAAGCAACCCCAGCAAAGTTGCATTTGATGGTCCCTTGCTGAATGGCCTGAAAGAGGAAACAAGAAACAGCGTCAGGCCAGGTGTGGTGGCTCCTGCTGTAATCCCAACACTTTGGAAAGCAGGAGGACTGCTTGAGCCCAGGAGGCAGAGGCTGCAGTGAGCCAAGATCATGCCACTGTACTCCAGCCAGGGCAACAGAGCAAGACCCTGTC